ATTTTAATTAAATTTTAAAAAATCCGCGACATTTTATATATAAAATCGGCAAACTTTTTTCTTGTTTTACAATATATACATTACAAAGAGAAAATGTACACAATTGAAATAGAACATGAGCAAAACGCGCCTTGAAAGCCTAGTATATTTAAACGTTAATGGAGTCCGTGTAATAGTTTTTACCAATACATCGGAAGAAATCGGTAGAAAATGATATTTCTACAATTTTTTGTTTAATTATAATCATTTTTAACCCCGGAGCTTAACCCGGTCCTAAACTGACCAGTTCCTAAACTAACCTGTTCCTAAACTAACATGTTTCTAAACTAAAATCATCCTTAAACTAAATTCTCCTAAACTAACCTGTTCCTGGGCAAGAAACTCTGCAGCAGGATCAATCTCCGCAGCAGCAGGAGAATCAAAAGCATCAAAACCGTCCATTTTGGATTTTTTCTGAAAACAAAAATAGGTGAACAAAATCTACAATGGTCAATTAATACATGCAATTTAACTTTTGAGCCTCGAATTCTTTGACAACATGTTTCCTTGGTGGTTTTAAAAAGGGAGTGTTCATGAATTTTAAAATGGGGTACATATTGAATATTGCATTTTTCACACCGATGCTAGATTCTTAGTTTCTTAATACTTGAACCAACTTCACATAACTACACGAACACTCCCTTTAAAGGGACTGTCAACACAATTTCAATTGACTCTTCATGCAAAGATGGCAATGCCCAATTCACAACCTTACCCTTAAAAGCTATGATCAAGGATGAATTATCCAAACATTATTATTTTAAATAATGGTTTCCCTTAAAAAGTGACTTGCGCAATTATAATGCAGGTAGACATATCAGAATTATCTGAATTTAATACATTTAAATCTAGAAAACCCACAATTTTATCCACATAATTAAAAACCGGTTTCAAAGATACCGTTGTAAATCGGACATTGCCATGTTTGCATGGAGGGTAACTTTAAATTACGGTTATAGACCCTTTAAACTCGTCCACGTGGATAATATCTTCTCTTAAGAATTGTTTCCTAAAACCAGGACTGATGGTTTGAAGAGTTTAGAGATCTTTACTTCGCTCCGCCATAGCAGCAGCTGCAATATCTTGAGGGGAGAGTGTATCTGTATCAATTCCCTAAGAAAAGAACACTATCAGTCAATTCTATTTTTAAGTAGAAATCTCTGTTTATCCGTCTGTTTTTTTGGATGTACGAGCATGATTCAAAGAGATTTGCCCAGGGGTGTATATAATTCCATATTTTTGATTCTTTCCCCCCCCCTCTAAATTTTTTTTGAATTCNCTCCCCCCCCCCCATCCCCTCAAGGAAAATATATCTCCAGTTTCGACAATTACCTGTTCTTTGAGCTTGGCAATAGTTCTGTCTGCCTCCTCTTGAGCTTCCTTCATCCTTTTCTCAGTGTGTCGAGGCTGTTCAACCATGTAAACTGCAACAGCCTAAATATAGAAGATATGTCAAGGCTGTTCAACGTAGTAAACTGCATAAGTCTAAATCAAGGAGATATGAAAAGGCCGTTCATGTTCAACCATGTAAACTGCAAAAAAAACCTAAATTAAGGATATATGTTGAGGCTGTTCATGTTCAACCATGTAAACTGCAACAGCCTAAATCAAAAAGAAATGTCAAGGTTATTCATGGTAAACCATGTAAACTGCAACAGCCTAAATCAAGGAGAAATGTCGACTGTCCATGATCAACCATGAAAATTGCAACAGTCTAAATGGAGATATGTCGAGTCTGTTCAGTGTTCATGTTCAACCATGTAAACTGCAAAATCATCTTTAAGTAAACAAGTGCCAAGGCTGCTAGTGTAAAATAAATAAAATAAAAACATTATTTTAGAAGTATTTTCTTTCCTTAATTTTACCAATTAAAAGTTTTCAATAATATAAAAATTCTCTTCAAATTTCCAAGATTCAAGATTGATTTTGTTGCAATTTCCTTCGAAGAAAGAAGATAAAAAACGGATCTGCATTATCTGCCCTAAAAGCCTAGAAAGAAGGGCGCGAAGCGCCTTGAACTTCTAGTATCATATATTCCTAAACAAGTAGGGAGTATATAGCGAAAAGATTTGTTAACCCTGTGATTTTTAATTATCCAACTTGTTAACAATATAGATTTATGTTTTCTTAATAAAAGTTTAAAGAAGAAGAATATAACAATTTTTTTTCGATT